TGTCTAATATCAAAGGTATCATATTCTATAGCTTCACTGTTGCAGGGAAAAAATATTAAGATTTAATTTCTCAGATATTTTGACATAATAATGCTTTATATTATGGTTATGTCTACTTCCTACTTAACCTGGTATTTGTTCACGAAGATAACTAGGTGTTTTGTCATATATTTTGAGTTTAGTGGCCATTCTATTTTATTATCACTTCATCTATTGTGATGACAATGGTTCCTACACAAATTGTTCTAAAACTTTGTATGAGCTCAATGTTAAAACAGGACTAATTGCTTAAATCTCAAATTAGACAACATAAGAGCACTATTGCATACTTTAGACAGAACTATTTTAATTCTAGTTTCACCCAAAAAGAATTTTATCAATCAACAGAATGAACACCCTGAAATGTCTCCTTGCTGAAGAAATAGACAAAAAATTAGTTGTCAAATTGACAGCAAACTAGGTTTTCTCTATTTTGAAAGGCGCTTTAGGCTTGTTTGACCTGCTACATTCTACGCCTTTTTTCCAATCAATCAAGGACAATAACTCCTGAACGGAAAACCGCAAAATCGTCAAGATCAAACTTGACCACCATTTTGTCATCAGTAAGAACATATTGAAATTTTAAGAGCATATATATTGGTTAAATTGTTCATAAAATAATTGCATGGAAATGACATAAAGTACCAATTTTAATCTATCAAGAACCACAACTCCAGGATAGCACAAGTGAAAATCATCAATATCGAACTTGACCTCCACTTTTAATCAGTAACAACATATTAAAATTTTAAAAGCATTGGTAAATCTGTTCAAGTAATTGCACAGAAACAACATAAAGTGCCATTTTCCAATAGATCAAGGACCATAATTCCTGAATTTGGGTAAAAGTGAAAATCGTCAATTTTGAACTTGACCTCCATTTTGTCATCAGTAACGTTAAATTTCATAATTTGAAAACCATTGCATGCTATAAGGGTTCATAAGATAATTTAAACGGATACGCTGTATAGTGCAATTTTCCAATATATTATGGACCATAACTACTAAACGGTAAGGGTGAAAATCAGCAATATCGAACTTGACCTCCATTTTGTCATAATAATCAACAAATCAAAATTTGAATAGCATTGGTTGAACGGTTTATAAGTTATTGCAGGAAACTGTTGGCAAAACCTAGTTAAAATAATATGTTGACAAGATTTCCACACTTCAGGGTAATATATCCCAGCCGCTTTGTAACTGTGCAATATAATAGCCTCAAGAGTAGACCATAAAACAATGGCTACATATATAACATTATCATTTCAGTTATCTTAAGAGATCTAATAAGTAACTCAGAGGTGTTCTCTGCAAACTTTTGTACCACATGTTTAATAAAATATTTTGAATATTAAAGTTTGTCCACTGACATTTTGTTTGGACCAGTTAATAATTGTCAGCAGAACAGAAATTCAAGTGAAACCATCCAAGACCTTTGCACTTAACTCTGTTACGTTTTGATATTTCCATGGCACATGTGGTCATTATGTGAATATAAGAACTACATGAACTATTGGAAATGTTTAGCATAATACTTAAATGTATACCTCAATTCTTCTTTTCAATAAATTCTATTCATGCAATTATCTATTCATCAAAGTTGTCATGTATTTTTATAGTACGTCATTTATTTAAGTAGAAAACATGATTTTATTATGTCCCTACAGAAGGTTTACACTATCTTTGTAATTATGTCCCTACAGAAGGTTTACACTATCTTTGTAACTTGCATTATTCGTTCAGCATTTTCTACATAAGTAAATACCTGTACCAAGTCAGGAATATGACAGCTGTTTTCCATTCTTTAGATGTGTTTGAGCTTTTAATTTTGCCGTTTGATAAGGGACTTTCCGTTTTGAATTTTCCTTGAATTTCGGTATTTTTATTTTACTCTTTTTCAGTTTAAGTGATGTGTAGTAAAATAACTTACCGCTGTGCTTTAGTCGACCTAAAATGTCTCCTTCCTTGAGATTTTGCTAAAAAAAAATTGATAATTCCTACTTATTATTTATATACTATATATATATAAATAACCTTATACTTTAGCAACAAAGTTAACTCAAGAAGCAAGCAAATGTATTAATATTAAATCTTTTCATGATCAATTCATCACAAGTACCATAAAAAAGCTGACCTTCATGCCCAGTTTTCATTATTCAGCATTCATTATCTTGAATCAATTGAAGCTACATTGGAAATACTGAGAGATGCATTTGTAGTTTGTTAAGTCGCATTATAATGATGTATCCACTTTTTACAATTATCTCTATACATATACATATATTCTCTATTTACAGAAGAGAATAAATCAGTGTTAGATAAAGAACTGTGAAAGTTTTAGATTAAATCAAATCTTCTGCAACAGCTTTTGCTTTAGAAAAAGTATTTCTGTGTCTGCAGAGCATATAGTAAACCCAATTAAAAACACTATTGAAAGGAAACATGTTATCATATCTGCAATGAATAATACATGTAATAACCCAAATAAAAATCAGAAGATAGGAATAAAGATATTAATTGATGGTGAGCTCTCACTGGAAAATGAAGGCAGATTGCTGTCTGATCATTGTAACATTTCCCTTTTCGTTAATGCAAATGAAGAAGCATTGAACAATAGTTCATGGTTGTATGTATTTCATAATTAAACACAATCGAAGAGAACATGAGATTTTTCGAGCGAAATATTATTCCTTTTCTAATATGACTGTCATAACAGACATGACAGCCTTTTTGATGGGTTGTTGAGGAACTCAGATATTCAAGATATTTTAAGGAACACACTGGTCGACAAATGTTGATGCAAATTGACCCATTGTTTCAGAGGTGAAGATTTTAAACATTGTTTTAGTATCCTCAGGCTGATATTTGAAATTATTTTTACTTTAACTAAATCTTTTTGGTTTTGTACAGAAATAATAAAATAAATAATACCTGTCTTAGGACTAGATAATAAATTTGAATCTGTCTGAATATTTTGAGACAGGTCCTTGTCTCTCTCATCTACTGACTGGACTACATTTTCAAGTGATTCTGTCTTTTTTGACTTGGACCTGTCAATGTTGTCTGGCTTGTATACTGACTGAACAACATCTTCTTCAGATTCTGTCATTCTCGACTGAGACCCGTCCTTGTTGACTGGCTTGAATACTGCATGGAACACATCTTCACCAGATTCTGTCATTCTCGATTGAGTTCCATCTATTTTGGCTGACTTGTTTACTGATTGGACACACTGCACATGTGGTTCTGAAAGGTAAAAACTCAAATATTTAGCATCCTTTATAATGAATTAATGAACTTAGTATCTTTTATGATATTTAGGAACTGAACTTGACCAAAACATTGATCGTTACATTGCTGAGAGTAAAAGATATGCCAAAGTTAAGTGACTTTTGATTGGAGGATGATGTATTCTCACACTGTATTCTATGATTGTAGTAGGAACTAAAACTCAGCTCAGATGTAAAAAAAAATGCCTTTGTCAATGAGCTGTTAAGTAGGTCAGATTGACCTGACCTATATCTTTTATAAAAAAAAACTGTTCCAGACACCAAGTTAAATTTTTAGCATAATATTTATCATGATAATGATAATGTATATAAAAGAACTTCAAAATCCAGTGAACGATCAAAGATTGGTTATTTACCTTCACTTCATACAGCTTTTCAAAATATATTTGCACACAAGGTCAACTAGATATATATATATATATATATATATATATATATATATATAAAACGTCTAGATATTTGTCGATGAGAGCGCTGGATCTACGTCAAATTTTGAAATTTTAGAATTATACAAGCGTTGTTTTTTGGTTTTAAATTGTAAATCTGTAAAGATTGCTATGGTTAAATCAGAATAGATTGATATAATTCATTTTACATCATCATAATCATATATATATAACTGATGAAGGATATCTGTTATCCGAAATATTTATAGATATATATATTGAATGTTTCTTTTTATTCAATATTGGTGTTGTTTTGTACACTTTTTAGGCGTATATATATATATATTTACATGTTTATACTAATCAGTTCTGTATCTACCAGTAATGTACATTTGTGACTAACAATTTATGATATATTCATTGTTTACAATTATTCAATACTGAGTAGCTAGAAGTTCGTAACTAAAAAATGGATGTTGGATATATGCAAAATTGACAGCACCTCAACCATACAAAAATGTCAACCAAGAATTCTTTTAAACATTTACATCATTTATACATGCCTTATTGCTTATTGCATGATAATCTGTGACAGTCTTTGTGAAAAACTACACATCTCAAGAAAACTTATCTTATCTTTAATAACTGAACAATTAGTGAGACAGATATTACAGTAAGTTGAACCCTGTCTGCAGACATAAATGTGCATCTACTATGATTCTTTAGACCAAAGATAGTACACAGTGAATAATGTAACCTCAGAAGAAATTAACTATTGCACACACACTTTATCAACATAAATATGAGGTCAATACCAAGAAGAGTGACTGACCCTTATCAAATGAACATGAACAACTGACACTTAGTCTACAGACAAATCCTAGTTCACCTACTTTAAACCTCCAGTGCAGGAATTGGGGTTTCCAGTCCTGTAAGTATGCCATGTTGACTTATTTGAAGATACTATTTTGCTGAACATTTTTGTTATTTACAAATTATGGATAGGATTTTAGATTCTGAAACTCTTGACACCACAATTCTAACCAATATAAGTCTGTGTCTTGCTTATTACTCATAAAATGGCCTGTCCCTGTTCATCCCAAACCTTTATAGTTTAGATGATTTTTTTTTTATTTTGGTATATTTTATCTGTCTTTTCTTAGTTAAAATTGAAAAGTTGAAGGTCTTAACATGTCGGAATCATGTTTGAAACACAAATGCGTGCTAGTTTAAAATTAATAGGCATGTAAAACATCCATGGGCAGCATATCAAAAAAGGACTCACCTTTATTTCTTTTACTGTTATATCTGTTTCTTTTATATCTTTGTCTCCAAAAGTAGATGGTTATCACCACTGACATTAAAACCACAACTCCAGTTATTGAAGCAGCTCTGAAATTAATTTTAATAGAGATTGTAAACATTTTATCATTAAAGAGCCTATATGGCATACCTAATATCTTTGTTCAGTGTTATGAATGGTCTTTCGCAAAACCATTATAGTCTATTAAGCCTCTAACTTTGATAGCAGTTTACCCTTTATGACATGCTACAGGTTGTGCAAAATTATCAGATTTTTAATGATTTACATGGGGTAATTTGAATAGGATTCCATGAACCGTGTGTCTTGCCTGTGATTGACCCTTTCAGTGATAAAGTATAATTTTGGTTGCCAAAAATTAAGTCCCTTTATCAGTAAAATACAAATAAAAATCCAATAATCAAATTGTTTTCTTTGGATGCTTTTTCTTGATCTCGAAGAAGCTTATTTACAAGTTTCATCACATTCCTAAGTCAGTAATGTCTAAAATATGACTTTATGCAAATGGTAACTACAAAAAAGATTCGCTTATCAGTAGAATAAGAAAAAATGAAGAAAAAAAATTTCTAATGAATTTTACATATCTCTTAATCATAAAAAAAAATTCCGCCAAAGATTCGTAAAATTCTTTGAAGATTTAAAAAATGTGTTGATGTCTAAATAAAAATATAGCACTAGACTGTATGACTGCAAAAAAAGTCCTTTCATCAATAAAAAATGGGTAATGAAAGAAAGTATTTTCAAAATTGTACTGTGGATATCATAAAAAAATCTTTGTCCAAGTTTAATAAAATTGAATGATTGTTTGAAAAAGTTATCGATGTTTAAAAAATTTAACCACAAACTGAACCTAGAATGTAGCCTCTGCTGCTACCTCTGCCCTTCACAGAATGTAATCGCACTTTGTCTCAAATCTGTGACTAAATGTTGCAGAAAGTAAGTTGAGTGTGAAAAAAAATCATCTTAATGATAGTTTTAAAATAAAATATGATAAGTTGGCTCTTACGATATGCTCTCAGAAAATAAAAAAAGAAAAATAACTCCAATAAGGACTCAACTGACGATTTCAACCATAAGACTTATTTGTAGAACTTCTGATCATTTTTGCAATTTAAAGTTTCTCTCTATCTATCATAGTTTTCAAGATAAAAGGCAAAAATGAAAAAAGTGGTAAAATTTATCATTATGGGCAATAACTCCTACAGGAAATCGTCTGACAGTTTTGACGTAAATGGACAATTGGTAGAGCTCAACTCTCTGAACAATTTTAATCTGTTCAGATTTCCTCTATTTATAACGGTTATCAGAATAATAGACAAAACTTGCATTTTACCCCATATGTTCTATTTTTAGCCACATCGACCATCTTTTTTGGCAGGCGGGGTAATCGGACACATGTTTAAAACTAAATACCCTAATGATGATTGTGGCCAAGTTTGATTTTATTTGGCCCAGTAGTTTCAGAGGAGAAGATTTTTGTAAAAGATTACAAAAATTTACGAAAAATTGTTAAAAAGTGACTATAAAGGGCAATAACTCCTTAAGGGATCAATTGACTATTTTGGTCATCTTAAACTTATTTGTAGATCTTACTTTGCTGAACATTATTGCTGTTTACAGTTTATCTCTATCTATAATAATATTCAAGATAATAACCAAAAACTGCAAAATTTCCTTAATATTAGCAATTCAGGGGCAGCAACCAAACAACGGGTTGTCTGATTCGTCTGATTATTTCAGGGCAGACAGATCTAAACCTGATGAATATTTTTACCGCATTGTCATATTTGCTCTAAATGCTTTAGTTTCAGAGATATATAAGCCAAAAACTGTATTTTACCACTATGTTTTATTTTTAGCCATGTTGGCCATGTTGGTTGGCAGGCGGGGTAATAGGACATATTTTTTTAACTAGATACCCTAATGATGATTGTGGACAAGTTTGGTTGAATTTGTCTATGTAGTTTCAGAGGAGAAGATTTTTGTAAAAGATTACAAAACTTTACGAAATATTGTTAAAAATTGACTATAAAATGCAATAACTCATTAAGGGGTCAATTGACAATTTTGATCATTTGACTTATTTGTAGATCTTATTTTACTGAACATAATTGCTTTTATAGTTTATCTCTATCTATAATAATATTCAAGATAATAACCAAAAACTGCAAAATTTCCTTGAAATTACTAATTCAAGGACAGCAACCCAACAACGGGTTGTCGGATTCGTATGAAAATTTCAGGGCAGATAGATCTAAAAATGATGAATATTTCTATCTAATGTCAGATTTGCTCTAAATGCATAAGTTTCAGAGATATAAGCCAAAAACTGCATTTTACCCACATGTTCTATTTTTAGCCATGTCGGGCATCTTGGTTGGCGGGCAGGATCATCGGACACATTTTTGAAACTAGATACCCTAATGATGATTGTGGCCAAGTTTGGTTAATTTTGGCTCAGTAGTTTGATGATTTTTGTAAAAGTTAACAGACGACGACGGACGACGGACGACGGACGACGGACGACGGACGCCAAGTGATGAGAAAAGCTCACTTGGCCCTTTGGGCCAGGTGAGCTGAAAAGAGGAAACATTTCTTGCTTTAAAAGACAACAACTGTTGGATGCTTTCATGTCTTTGCATTGTACCTTAGGAGGAGAAACTCTGCAACTAATACTAAAATAATTTTCTTCTGCAAGATTTTTAAGTGGTCAGGGTTTTCTTTGAAACTGAATATAAGTAATCTCATATTTGGTCCAAAAACTGGTCTGATTAGTCTTTCAGATTGATCTGAGTTGGCTTTCAAACTGGTCCAAGGTGCTTTTTTTACCTGATTCAACGAGACCATAACTGCATTGGACAGAGGTGTATTCCAACACGCAACTCCTATACCATTCAACATCTGCAAAAACGAGTTTTTATGAATTTGTGGAATTCTCCCATTATGGAAAACGCTAATTTCTTTACATTTAAAAATTAATGTGATATAAATAACATAAGATTTCTTACATTTCCCATTCAGAAAATCTACTGTTACCAGTGGGATCATTGGGTTGTGTAGCACTTGTATCTGAAATCAAAATAAAGTATAACATTTATTTAGCATACATAATTTGTTTGTCTTCTTATTCAGAGGGACAACAATCATTCTCCTGAAAGTGAAAAAACACTACCTATAGTTTACATGTTTTAGTCGAATGAGTAAGCGTAAACCAAATTTCTTTATAAGGTTTTACTTTCCAAACAGTTAAGTTATGCCTCTTTCAAATATTTTTGTTGATTTCTTTACACTGTAGGGTTCGCATTAAGAGTTATAGCTAAGGTAAGAGTTAGAGTTAGAGGTATTGGTTAGAATTTCACACTATAAAAATTATTTTCAGAAATAATTAATTTTAGGCAATCTCATCATTCTGCAATTTTAAGAAACACTTATATGATATTATTATAGCTTGCATGACATGGTCCCCCTCCCCCTTTTTGACTTTTTCTCTCTATTACTAAATTACATATTTTCAAGATATCTAATAATTACTGGCGTTTTTCTCCCATGTATTTATCCCCCTCGCAACACCGTGCTGGGGGCATAGAAACACTAGACGTCCCTCCATGTGTCCGTCTATATGTCTGTCCAGACTAGTATGCACTCTCATGTGTACAGTTTTTATGAAATGTATATCAAGGATAATATCAGCAATATCTTATATGGAAAATTGCTTTTTATAAATGATCTCAAGCCTAAATTTCTTGTAACATTGGTATGACATTTATATCAACGGTTAATATTAGGAATGCCTAAATCAAATTTAATAATCAGCCTTCATCAACTATTTTTAAAGGATTTATAACCCTTGTAAATGTAAATTGTCTAGATAATTGCATTGTAAGCTCTCGTCAGTCTACATTTCTCATCTGATTTTTATAAAATGTATATCAAAAGGTTTATATCAATAATGTCTTAGACGAGTTTGAAAGTCAGTGTCAATCAAGCATTTTTTCAGGAGTGCCTTGGAAATGTAACTTGAATAGGAAATTGCAATGTAAGCAGTCTCACAACTACATTTCTTGTTGAATTTTGATGAAAAGGTTTATATCAGCATAATCTTGGAATAGTTTATTAATAAGTGCCAATTAAAAAAAATTGTACAGGAGTTATGCCCCTTGGAAATAGATATCATATTAAGTATAACACTGTTAGCAATATCATGCCAATAATTCTTGTAAGATATTTTTGAAAAAGTTTAAAAGAACCACAAATTTTTTTTAGAAGTAATTGTCTAGGAGACATAAAGAAATGTGCATTGAGAACAACAATTTTATACTAGCTATCCTAAGAATCATTCAGCATAACTTTGAGACTATATTTATAGACAACGAAATCAAAGGACGATAACTGCGTTCCCGGACAAGCATCAGCTCACGCCCCCACATTATCACTGGGCATATTCATAAGTTCATAGACTCAGCAGATAAAAATTTCTTGTGGATATGCACATCTACTTAGTATGTCCTTATTATCTAAAAAGTTTCATGAAATTATGTTGTGTGATTTCAGCGGAGTTGCGATGACAAACTGTTCCAGTAGCATATTTAAGCCAAAATTCTAGGTTCAAAGGGGCATAACTCCTGAAAAAAAATTATAATTTCCTGTTGATATGCACATTTGCATAGTATGTCCTTTTTATCTGAAATGTTTCATAAAATTCTGATTTGTGGTTTTATAAGAGTTTGATGACAAGAACAGGACTGACAGACGGGTCAAAAACATTATACCAGGGTATAATTATAATATACTAAAATCCAGATACTGACATAATGCAATATTCACAATCTGTCCAATCAATTATTTTGATTTTGAGGTCAACGGTCAAAGTCACATAAATGTCTTCATAATACATGTTATAACTTATTACCGTCAAGTGACTGACCAAATATGAAGTGGTTATATGAGGTGGTTCCTGGGAAATAGACCATCAAAGTGAATGCAATATAGCGCCCATGTTTACAGCTGGGGTATAATTTTCAGTTAATTAGAATCATTTCCTTTTAAGCTGCAGCATTCCACAAAAAGTAAATAAACTGAGACAGTTCTAAATAGTACATGCTGTACAACTGTTGATACTGTTTTTATTTGTATTTTCACTACGGTTTGACATTCAATATATACAGTAATCATCTAATTACCTTGTATCATATGACTGCTAACCACAATCAGGAATAGATGTAAATACGTCATGTCTAAAAAATATCTAAAAAATATTTTGTTAAATAAAAATAAACTATTTATTTAATCCATAGATTTATATCGATGTATATACATTAAGGAAACAATCTCTTTTGATGAGCAATGTATTTGATAACACATCATTTGAAGCTCGAAACAAAACTTCACGAAACTCAGTGGTCATGGTCATCGTCATTATACAAAATTTTCCGAAGCACCTGAGATCACCCCCAGTTTTTAGTGGGGTTCGTGTTGCTTAGTCTTTATATTTCTATGTTGTGTTTTGTGTACTGTTGTTTGTCTGTTTGTCTTTTTTAGCCATGGCGTTGTCAGTTTATTTTCGATTTATGAGTTTGAATGTCCCTCTGGTATCTTTCGCTCCTCTTCAGTGACTTGTAGTTCCTAAGAAAAATGGTAAAAAACGTTTATAGATATGACTATCATGTGTGAGAGAATATACTTACAAATATATATCTAGTATATATTAACAGGAAAGTGATGAACAATGGATGTTTGTGGGGGTGGGGGTTGGGGAGTGGGAACATCACAAAGTAAAGCATGCCCAGTTGATCTTGCAATATATCAAACGTCCAGTAAACTCAATATGGACCAACTCCAAACGTCCAGTAAACTCAATATGGACCAACTCCAAATGTCCAGTAAAACTAAGAATGGACCAAATGTCCAGTAAAACTACGAATGGACCAAATGTCCAGTAAAACTTAGAATGGACAAATGATTCAATAAAACTTAGAATGGACCAAATGTCCAGTTAAACAAAGAATGGACCAAATATCTAGTAAAATTTAGAATGGACCAAATGTCCAGTAAACTTAGAATGGACCAAATGTCCAGTAAAACTCAGATTGGACCAAATGTCCAGTAAAACTTAGAATGGACCAAAGGTTTAGTAAAACTTAGAATGGACTTAATGTCCAGTAAAACTACGAATGGACCAAATGTCCAGTAAAACTTAGAATGGACCAAAGGTTCAATAAAACTTAGAATGGACCAAATGTCCAGTTAAACTAAGAATGGACCAAATATCCAGTAAAATTTAGAATGGACCAAATGTCCTGTAAACTCAATATGGACCAACTCCAAATGTCCAGTAAAACTAAGAATGGACCAAATGTCCAGTAAAACTACGAATGGACCAAATGTCAAGTAAAAACTTAGAATAGAATGGACCAAATGTCCAGTTAAACTAAGAATGGACCAAATATCCAGTAAAACTTAGATTGGACCAAATGTCCTGTAAAACATAGAATGGACCAAAGGTTTAGAAAAACTTAGAATGGACTTAATGTCCAGTAAAACTTAGAATGAACCAAATGTCCAGTTAAACTAAGAATGAACCAAATATCCAGTAAAATTTATAATGGACCAAATGTCCAATAAAACCTAGATTGGACCAAATGCCCAATAAAACTTATAATGGACCAAATGTCCTATTTAACTCAGAACTTAGATATCATTGCATTAGATGAGTAGGACCCGTTTAAATTTCTAAGCACTTCAGCTGAACATTGTTTTTTGGTAGGGTTCATGGTGCTCAATCTCCAGTTTTTTGTCGGGGGTTTATTTGATTGTAGTTTGACCTTTGACCATAAAGTTGTCTATTTACTCTTCAACAATTCTGTTAGTACATTTTGTATCTCAGTGACTTTTGAGTATAAAAACATTATATGATGATACAAAATAACTGCTTTGTCACTACTTAACGAAATAAAAAAAAACATACTTATATGTGCCTATTTATAAATAAAAGTATTATCTTGACAAAAATATAAAAAAGAGATGTGGTATGATTGACAATGAGACAACTCTCCACAAGAGACCAAATGACACAGAAATTAACAGCTATAGGTCACCGTACGGCCTTCGACAATGCTTGCCAGACTTCAGACAATAATTCGTATGCTTATATTTGTTAAGACACTTGTAAAAATAGCTGTATCAATTCATGATGTTACTTGATCAATAACTGTTTTGAATTTCATTTGACAATGAATGTAATCAGAAGAACTAAAACATGGGCAACTAAGGTCAAGCAGGTTTTACAGTCAAATAAATATTTGTCTTAACTACTTACTTTTAATACTTAGATATATTTGTTTCTTAAATTAGTGTCCATAAAATGGGAAAAACATTTTATCTATTTGATCCAACAAGTGTTCCATAAAATTAGTTGATATAAAAAGTATAAAGTTGTAAACATAATTTTACAGTTTTTAATCCATTATGGTTAATCTTTCCTTATAAAAATGACACTGTCTTGCTTTTTAATATCTTTGTAATAAATATGAAATGAAGTATTTGGTTACATTAAATGTAAAAAATAAACTTAATTTTCAAATCTATTCTTAAAACCGCTTTCAATGTCAAGGTTCCTTCACGTATGTCTTGCATCAATTCCAGTATGACTATGGATGACCATAAACCTCATTCCAAATATACATGTAATAAACAACAGCATAATATTGTTCTCTAACTTGTTAATATAAAAGTAAAAAGATGTTGTAAAAATTTTCCAATGAGACACTTATTCACCAGAGACCAAACGACAAAGACACTCTTAAAGACTTCTTAAAAAAGTTCAGTAATGAAATAATAACAGGCTTTAATGATGATGATTATTGACTAATTAACAATTAGTGGCATATTCAGGACAAGAATATATTAATATTAATGAATTCTTTTATATGAACCCTGCTTGGTACTATACTGCCACGTTGAGCTAGATTTTTAACGTGCAAGTTTGCATGTGTACAATCTGCAGGAAGACATTTCACCCAACCTTGTCATATGACTGTGATCTTGGGCCGACGCGTGTTTGCTCTAACTTTTA